TATTTGTTTTATTTGTCTTGCTGCCCCAACTAAGGGCACTGTATCTTATTCCTTGTTTGACTTTCCAGTATCTGTTCCAGTGAACTAAAATAGGAGCTGCTCAAAAACTTTCTATAATGGATGCTAACATGCTTATTATAACAACACACTATTTCCTATTTTAACAAAATATAACAAAAGGCAAATGACCACAAACTAACAACAGATAGTTCTATCTTGGAGAGGGTGAAACCAGGTTTCTCCTTGAAGGCTAGGATTTTGAAACTCTGTCTCACATACTTTGGGCACATGACCAGGATAGACCAGTTCTTGGAGAACATCATTCTTAGAAAGGTGGAGGGACAACACAGGAGAGGAAGACTCCAGATGAGTTGGATTGGTACAGTAACTGGGACAATCAGAGTAGATGTGTTGGAATTCATGAGACTGGCTTAGGACAGGACAGGCTTCAGAGCTGCTGTACATAGGGGTCACTGTGGATCACAGGCAAATTACCGGCATACAACACTAACAACAAAGAGATAAAATCTTCAGTACTCAAACTCTAAGACTTAGTATCATAATTGACTATCTTGTCTAATACAACGTTAGCCATAGAATGCTACATGCTTTAGCCCTCTTGGTCTTAATTGTCCTTATTTTTTTCGCTCATCAGCCCTTTTACAACCACTTTATATCTCTGAGTTCATTTTAAAGCAAAGCTCTTTTTCTCTTCTTCTAATCTTTACATTTATAGTTAGTCTTGTTGAGTGTAATAGTCGCTCTTGTTTTATGAACTTTTGCTTTACAAATTGTTTTCAAATATTCCTTTATCATTCATGTCTCTTAACAACCTTAAGTTATCAGTATTATTGCCACTGCTTTATAAAAGAATAAACAGGCTCAAAACATTTGTGATTTGCCAAATTGTTGTTGGGTTTTTTATTCTATCAATTCTTTATTATTGTTGTTGTTGTTTTTATGTGCCGTCAAGTCATTTGCGACTCATAGCGACCCTATGTACAACAGCCCTAAACCGTGCTCTATCCTGTGCCAATCTCATTGCCTCTGACACACCCATCCCGATTTTTAAAGAAAGTTTACAGAGACTTTGGATTTCCATTCATTCATTGTTGCACTTTTCTCCCTGCCTAATCTCCTCCCCACCCCAGTTCGCTTTTCTCTTTGAAAAGTAAAAGAAATTTTTTTTCATTGTTTTACAATCCCTCTCCCCAAGTCCATTTCACTATGCAGCCTTCGTTCTGGACTCCTGTCATGACAATAATCTGGAGAACAACCACTTGGCCAACTGACTGGAAGAGGTCAATATTTGTTCCTATCCCAAAGAAAGGTGACCCAACAGAATGTGGAAACTACAGAA